AGAGAGAGAGAGAGAGAGAGAGAGAGAGAGAGAGAGAAACTTTACTTTAAAAATACAAAAACACAATCAAGTTCCTTAGTGAGTAGAGCATTCTGATAAATGATAATACCCCTAACCAACAAAAACACGCATACAAACATCATAGCTGCCACTCAGGAATTTCAAAAAAGGAGGAAATTCATGCGAAGGTGGACGCGCGCTCTCCGAAGGCTGAAGTAAAACCAGTGAGACCCAGAGGAAATATATACTGGAAAATCTAGCCTATGGTTTTGGAAGGGAAAACTGTCATATTTGTTAACCATAGGCAACTGAATTAAAATGTATTTGAAAAAAAAACAACAGCAACAAAAAACAAACAAAAAACAACAAAGTAGACTAACAAGCATTTGAGTCAATTTGACACAGTTTGGACTTGGTGACTAAAAATCCAGTGTTTGTTGCAAGCTGGTGTCTTATAAAAAGATTTCTTTCAACTTAAAACTTGTATATCGATGTTGAGTATTGGATCAAGGAGGCAACACCTTTGGCGCTGTACTGAGCACTCCTGTACAACTGCGGTCCCGTTTGCACTTAGTAGTCCCTCTGTAGAGTGTAGATCTAACCTGAATTAAAATTATAGCCTAGGCTATCTAATCTAGATCTAGAATCTAGATATCTAAATATGTGTACATCTAGATTATATCTAGAGATAGATCATCTAGATCTAAATCTAGATCTAGATTCAGTGTTCACTTCATCAACAGCCACAATATAGCCGTCATGTAAACAAACGGGACCGCAATAATTGTACAAGAGTGCCGCGGGCCGCGATTTCTTTATCACACCAAACGCAAAGTGCAGCAAGAGGTTTGTTCATTTTTCTCATGAACTTTTCAAGTTGCACCGGCAGCTTCTTTCTCATTCCAGCTCCTTTTATATTTGTATTCAGCATCAATTTCTCTCGAATTTCCGCCGTTTTCAATGACAACTCGGCGCGCTAACGTCCCGATGCCCGATTGACACTTTGTTGCTCCACAATAAACAAAGTGAAACTAACGCTAGGTCTGGAAGAACGGAAGTAGAAAGCTACGGGCGGACATGTGCAAGCTGCGTTTTCGTCTCTCTCCCGGTTCGGTGATTTCCGCGTGTAAAAAAGTATCGCAATTTGCGGCCGAGAGCGGTCCAGCTCAAAGTAGCGGGAAAAGCTAGATGAAGCGGAGTTTCCGCTATTTAGCCGGAAAGTGGCAGCTATGAAACATTCACCTATTTCTAACATGAGCACACACAAATATACAAACGCTGACAGCTGACTACAACTCTCCCCACCAAGTTCAGAATGGCGAGCAGCCCTGTTGTCTATGTCTCTTTGATAACACAAGACATAAACAAACCTTCCTACATGAGTAGAGAACCTACCTTTTATTCATCTCTTTTTTAGTTTTATCAAGAGTTTCACAGCAGTTCCAACACAATATAAGGTCATATAAGTATCGAAGATAAGGTGTTACTGGAAAGTACGAAACACCCCCCAAAAAAAACCCAAAAAAAAGGAAGAGAAATCAGGACGGTAGATATTTGATAGGAAAGAAGGAGCAAACCACAACAGAGCACCAGCCAACCACCCGCTATTTATCCCGCTCTCACACACAGGAACACAAACCTGTTCCTCAGTGAGCGTGGCACTTTGGCAGTTGACCACACAGGTGATGTTAGACAGTTGCTGGAACAGGTTCAGACCAATCATGGGCATCGTTTCAGCCTGCAGTTTTGGCATCTGCCAAGCAAAAACAAAACAAACAAACAATCAAACCATTATAGACACCTCAGCCTGAAGTTTTTGTCGTGGTCAAAGCAAAAAGAAGCATCATGTACATGTCAATCTAAAGTTTTAGCATCTTCCAAGCAAAAAGAAACTTTACAAGTATTTCAATCAGCAGTTTTGGCATCTGCCAAGCAATAAGAAGCATCACTGATGTTTGAGCCTGTAGTTTTGGCATCTCTGCCATGTGAAAAGAAACATTACCAATATTCCAGCCTGTAGTTTTGGCATCTACCAAGAAAAAACAAAAAACATTACAGACGTTTCAGCTTACAGTTTTTGGTACTTGCCACAATGCAAAAGAAACATTACAGATTGTAGAACTCAAACACCATGAGAGAGGATACAGCCCTTAATTTTTTAACTTTTATGTCTTTACAAAATATCTGGGTACAATACAGTTAAAAATGAAGCCAAAGAAAGTTTTGAAGAGACATGACAGTGACATTTTCTGCTCTCTTTCAAAAGTCTTGCGTGTGCATTTTGCTGGTGGAACTATTTTACTTTTGTATTTCCTTTTTGTTTTGTTGTTGGTTGTTTGTTTGTTTATTGTTGTTTGTTTGTTTTTTTGTTTTTTTTTGGGGGGGGTTGTGTTTGTTTTTAAGAATAAGAGAATAAAAGTGTAGACTCATCTAGAGAGGTGAATGTATTATTCATTATACCAAAGAGTAAGTAACTAATTTACTATTACAGTGCAGGTATTGCCTATATAGCATCCAAATTAACTGCTCCTCTAAATTAATAGCTGCTCTACTAGCAGTACTCAGCCATAAACCTTTATTAGACTTTTAGTTTCTTAATCACACTGAACAATTAGCATTCCTTTTTTTTAAATACTCCTTGAAATACCTCCAATATCTATGTAATGACAAGGGGAATTCTCTCAAATGCACTGCATGATTAAATTTTGTTTTGTTTTAAGAGAAGTTTTACGGCGCTCCCAACTGCATAAGGTCATATGAGCGCCAACAGAGAAGTCCTTACAAGGGAATCAGGCTTACTCTGCTCACCTCTCTAGCTTCAACAGCACAAAGTCTGCTTCGATAATCAAGGCACCCCGGAAATAGCGGGTCACAAGAGTGACAAACATAAAAAAGAAGTAGAGGGAAAATGACGATAGTAAGGATTAGGAAAGGAAAAGCAGCAGTTCCCTGTTGCAGTTCAGGCACGGCTATGAGCATGACATTGATGAATCAGCCCATTTACAATTCTACTGTGCATAAGAACATGGTTAATGTCCCCCCTTTGGGAAAAACCTATAGACACTTTAGTCAGTAGCACAGCTCGGGCTCGAGGGGGGGGGTCTGAAAAATTAAATAAATCACGGAAAGCTTCATAGATATGTAGATCTAAGTGTATGTATATGAGGATAAACCAAAAAAATTAAATCATCTCATCAACCGAGCATACCATATCCTAAAGAAGCACTTTTCTCGAGAACAGGGACAACATGTATGTATTTTTGTACTGAGAAAGAAAAGAAAAACAAACACAAAAAACACAAAAGTAAAAATGTAATTAATTTTTTTTTTTGAATCATCACCTTGTTGACGAAAATGTGTCTGAAAGTGTCCAGATGCAGCGCATGATTTTCCTTTCCTCGAGCCTGGTCATAGAACCAGCTCAGACAATCCTGGCAACTCTCCGGGTCAGTGGCCAGGCATTCCCACAATTGGTCAGCCTGGCCTTGGCTCAGACCTTTGCAACAACAAAAAAAAAAATTATAGTAATAAAGATAGAAACACAAAGAATCCATGATGGTTCTGGTCACATTCTGTGATTGTTTTGTTTATTACACACAATGTAAGATACCTGTGTGGAGAGCTTCTTCCACCCAACCTGTTAGGGACAATCCTGCCCAGGCTGAGAGGGACACAACATCCCAGCAGACAGAACCGTTACATTCTGTGCACGACTGAAACAAGATGATCAACAAAATCGAAAAACTAAACACCCACTCTGTGAACAACATAATTTTTTCATGCATAGTTACATAACGTACTTGAGACAAAAGACAATGAATTATATTCCTATATTTGCAAAACAAAACAATAAATAGAGAAAAATCATGCATTCATATAAATTTTTAATTTGCCAACATACACCGGTACCTCAAGGTATGTCAACAAAATGAAGAAGTCGTTTATCCAACCCGTAGACAGGTGTGGTGATGGTGGTAACCTTCCTGGACTCCTGCTCTGGATCGCGAGTCCCTAGGGCTATGACAAGTAGGCACCCCATGCCCAACCATCGGTGCCTCCGAGGAGGCACTCGCGATCCAGTCTCGCTGGAATCTGAGAAGTCGACACCATCACCACACCCTTTCTAGCCAAGAAAACTATGTTAGCTTGGACAGTCTCGGACCTCAACATTTTCTATGTGAAGATGATCAGTTTATATAACTGTATTCAGAATACTGTGCTTTCGCTTACTGTAGAGTAGAAGCATTTCCGCAGCAAAACGTTCACATTATTTGGGGAATGTCACAGACTAGTCGTAAAACGCCAACACGAACAAGTGTGCTTGTTGGTGCACTTTCGCTGCACGAAACGCACTGATTGGTACTTTAATAACTTCAATTGAAATACGCCCTAGATTACCCACATTTAACTTCTCTGGGTTTGTCTCCCTTCCCTTTTGTTCACATGTCCGAGTGAGGAGAGGCGCGCGCGCGCGTGTGTGTATGTGCATGAGCGCTTTGGTCGGTTGTCGAACTCATTTCTCTAAATAAAAATGGAAGAAGCCATAACAAGACCGTATTGCCACGCGTTTATTTGTAAAGCTCACCGTGTTTACCGAGGACCACACATCCCCGTCAGTAACGAGACCTGCCGTGTGCTGATGTGATGTGATAATAATGAATGATGTATTGTCTCCCTTTTATTCAAACTTGCAGGTTCACGAACTCGTTCTGGATGATCTGTTTGTGGGTGTTGTTATTGTTGTCCGTTGTTATCGTTTGCTGTTTCATTTTCAGGGGCTGGTGGGGGGCGCATTACTCGTGGTGGTTGTTTTAACGTTAGTTCACTGAAATCATTTAACCGACTCGCAGTCTTAGAATTGTATAAGAAAATGTCATTTAATCACAATGTAAGAGTTTTCCCATCCCCATCGATACAATTTAGGTCATGTAAGACGTGGGCCTCCGACGCTGCCTGTCAGGGCCAACCCCAGGGCTGAGAAGGATACAATATCCAAGCAGAGATACCGAGATACTTGATAAAAAATTCTCCACACTCAGAAATTGAACTCGGGTCTCGTGCGTGTGTAACATGAAGCGCATAACCTCTACACCAGACGCACCCAAAGTACCAGAATTTGTTGGGGGGGGGGGGGTTAACCCCCCACCAAAAAAAGAAAAAAAAGAAGGTAGAAGTCATATATCCGACCCGTAGCCCCCAAACACGAGTGAAGCTCAACCGTCCAACCATACGCAGGCTTCTGACCCGCGAGCACACGAGGCCACAGCGCTGTCTACGTGACCTAACGCGACCCCCGAAACCAGAACCCTTACAATGCTCCAAACGGCTCAGACAGCCTCGTGTAGGGGACTAGCCGATGCATCCTCTGACCATCAGTTCTTCTCGCTAGAGGTGTGCGAGTCCAGCATATTAAGATTCGAGTCCACACTCGAGTATCTGCTCTGGACTCGAGTAATTACTCGAGTAATTACTCGAGTCCCACGGCTCTTAAGACTCGAGTAATTACTCGAGTAATAGTATCCCGAAAGGGAATTTTAGTGGGTTTCAAAAAAAGTTTTGTTGAATATCGGACAGAAAAT